AATGGGTTTGTTGTTTTTGTTTGTTTGTTTGTTTTAGTGACAAATACTGAGGAGACTGTTTCAACTAAAGCGGGGGGTGGGGGGGGAGAAAGGAGGGGGCTTCTCTGAACCTGAGACCCAAATGGCAGGCAAAGCCAGCATACAAAGACTGGGTCGGAGGAAGTAGGGGAGGTTAATGGCAAAGGGTAGGGGATGGGGGCAGGAATGGTTCTCCAGCAGAACCTTACAAGGTGCACAGCTCCGAGATGGGACTGTGCAAACAAGCCACTTGGCCCGGCTCATGGGTTGCCTCACACATCTCTTCTCAAGTCTGTGATCAGTGACCTCAGGTTAATAGCTTCAGAATCAGCCATGGTGAAAAGATCATTTACACCATGGGAATACACAAACACTACATATCAGGCTTTCCCTCGACCTCCATCCTTCAGTTGTTAAAATCTTTGCCAGGACACCCCTGATTGGCACCTCTGCTCACCAAAAAGAAAGCCATGGAGTTCAGTGGGGATGGATAAGGGGGAAGAGAGAAGTTACTACAGAGACAGGTTGTGTTCTATTGCAGTGGGAAGTCTCAGAAGCATTTAAAGCAGAGACCACCAGGATTTTATTTTTACTGTATAGGACAGGTAATACCAAGCAAAGACTCGGGTCCAGGCAACAAGAATGGAAAGGAGAGATCAACTTCTCATAATTTGGATCTAGGCAAGATCTGAATCTAGGAACTAAGGAGAAACTCACTTAGCACCACAGAAGCTTATGTACCCAGTGAGGCCAGGTGTCAGGGTATGGACCCTAGGTTGCCTGACCTAGGTCTGTGCTGGGGGCTGAGCCTGCGCAGGCTGACAGTTGGCCTCATCTGTGCAGAGAGAAGGGCTGCAGAAGCTCAGCTACCTATAGTGTGCAGGACAGCCATGTTGGTCAACTTCCTTTCCAAGGGGTAATGTCATCAGCTCCCAAAGCCATATGGATATATAACTCACGGTTATCCAGCATATCTCCCCTAAGAGATACATGGCACCATCCTGGCTATATGTTTCCATTGCAAAATGGCTGCGTCTCACTTCTCTGGTCCATTCTGTCCTGCATCAGAGCAGCCATGCTGGCTGTTGAAGCTAGAGTTATGATGGAGCAGGTGCCTTCAAGCCCCAGCTACTGTCCAGAATGCTGGGAGCCTTTCCAGCACCAGAGGCCCAGGCTGAGCTCAGGGCCAAATAAATCAGAACCTCTGGGGTGGGGCCCAGGCATCCTTGTTTTATAGCTCCCAGTGATTGCAACATGTGGTTTGAACTGGAATGTGAGACCATCCATAGAACAAGAGGTCACATTTGTGCACATGTCAACTTGAGAGTAGATTCTATTAACAAGCGATTCCTGGTGTGATGACAGTGCTTGGTGCTATCCTTCTGGGCCTTAAGTGATGCCTGTGTCATCCTGGGTGGGGCCATTAGAAACTAGCTTGCTGTGTGACTTGTTTCTTCACTTCTCCATCCGCAGCACTGTAGCTATATTAACACAGCAGATGCCATGTTCCCAACAACTTTAAGAGTACTTGTGGCTTCATAAAAAAAGGACCAGGTCTGATGGAACCTGGTGAAACCCCTAAGACTATAGGTCCTAGTTACCCTTCAGGCCTGGAATTGAACTCACTCCTGTGGCTTCCAGCCAAACAATAGACAGGCATTTAGGGTGAACATTTACACCAGGTAGGTACACTATTTAGAGCAATCAATCATGGCAGATCAGAGGGCAGTATTTGCACAGGGAGATAGCTCAGGGGGCAGGAATGCAGAGGAAAGGACACAGGAAAGAGGTCACTACAGGGAGGGAGTGGGAAGAGAGCTGTTACATTGTGGGGAAGTGCAGTCAATGTCATAAGACAAAATGTGTATGAACTGCTGTATGGAAAATGAATTTGCTTTGTAAACTTTCACCGAAATCACAATAACAATTAAAAAAAAAAAAAAAAAAGTACTTGTGGCTTCCCTTCTGGAAGTGGAGCCAATTTGAAAGATGGATGATGTTGACAATTTTCAGGTTCCAGCCATGCTCCTCTGAAGCTGAGGGAAATACAGGAAGGACATCCAATTAGCCACTGAGAGAAGCCAGACAGGCAGTGTCCTGTGCCCAGACTGATGCCTGATCATGTAGCATGGAGGGCATGGAGAGGCAAAGAGAGTCACCAAGAAGGTGTGGAGTCTTTTCTTGTATATTTAGGAAAAGGCAGGGAGGACAGATGTCAAAGATGATTTTGAGAATTAGGCTAATGCTGTTATTTTAAGCATGCAAAACAAACCAGGGCCCACCCTTCCCTTATACAACTGGGCAGAAAGGTATAGCAAGAGCACAGGCTTTGAATGTAGCATTTATACATGCAAAACATTTGCTGGGTTCTATATCAGAGCCACTAGGCTGAGCCACATCTCTGAGGTGGGCTCAGGGGGACAGGCCCCTGCACATGTGGTACAGACGTCCAAGTGGAAGAGGACACCAGGAAACAAATCAGCATGTAAACCCAGGGAATGAAGACAAGCTGTGACACACATGAGGAGGGAAGCAAGTTGGCCAGAGGTCCCAGTGGAGGGGTGAGCTTCTTTGCATGAGGAGGAGACTAGGAAGCCTCTGTCCTGAGACTTGCAGCATGAGGAGCCACCACAAGACAACTGGGGGGCATCCCAGGGAGAGGGGGTTCAAACTGGGGGCTGCTGAAGCACTGCTGCAGACTGATGTCAGGAGGGCAAGTAGGCAAGGAGGGGGCAAGCTTCTATTCTAGACACAATGGTGGCATGCTGGAGACCATCAAGTGGGCAGGGATGTGCTCTGATCTACACTTTACTAATTTGCTATGGGACTTGGGCCATGTACTTAATGTCTCTGGTTTCACTGTTACCTGTAATATGAAGGTAAAGCCCACCGCAGAGGATTGTTATGTGGGCTAGAAATCATATGCATGGAGTTAACAGGAAGTGACACTAGGAAGTGCTTAGTAAAGTAGTGACCATTGTCATCCTCTTCCTCCTCACGGTTATTGCCAGTGATTCGGTGGCCACTGGTTCTGGGCATTTACTCTTTCCTGAAAGGACTCTAGCACCACCCCACCAACCCCAGTGAGTTTTCCACTGAGAATATGAGTGTTTTGAAAATTGGACATTTTAGTATCTAAACACCTCCTCATTAACCCCACCATGGTGGGGCTGACCCTCTAGTGGAGAAAGGAACTCAGTACCAAGGCTAATGGGGAAGCTGGGCTGAGCCATAGGATGATGGTGGCAGCTGTGGGTGTCCCTAGAGTGCCCACAGTCACATCAAAGGCTTTCTGCGGTGGCTGAGCTTCTGTGCTATGCTGTTTCCAGTCCCTGAGGCTTCTCCCACATGAAGCTTTTAGTGAGGCATAAAATATATGTTCTTTTTAAAACATTTCAACTTCTTCTCTCCCTCCCTCTCTTCTTCCATTCAAATAGTATTTACAGCATGTCCATCATGAGCTCAAAACTGTGCTAGTCAGTAAAGAAAAAATGAGGGAGACACATTTGCCTGTTTTGAAGGTTAGAAACCAGTGGTGGAAATAGAATGCAGTGGTAGCTTCTGCTCTAACAAAAGTATTTACAATGTGGTAGCATAGTGCCTAAGGCATTTGACTGCTGACCAGAAGGCTAGTGGTTCAAAACTACCAGCCACTCCTCAGAGGGGAAGATTGGGCAATCTACTTCCATAGAGCTATTGCCTCAGAAACCCAAGGAAGGGTCGCTGTAAGTCAAATCAACTTGATGGCAGTGAGTTTGGTTTGTTTGAGAGAGGCCCAGAGGATATTAGAGATGAACTTAGACTCTAAAAGCCTGGAAAGTCTTCTCAGAGGATGAGAACCTTAAGGCTGGGTCTTGCAGGAAGAGCTGAGTTTGCCAGAAAGAGAAGAAGAGATCAAAAGGCACACACATAACACAAATTCCAGTAACCTGTAGAGAATGAGTATAGAAGTAAAATTATTCCACACAAAAAAGAAGGAGCTGCATGTCAGTTAGGACTCTCTTGATCACAAGTGACAGAAAACTCAACAGCCCAGAAAAAAAGGGGGGGTAGGAATGCTGACTTTAGTTCCAACTGTATTCAAGGCTCAAACACCACCATTAGGATTGGAACTCTCAATCACTTGGCTTTGCCTGGCCCCTCCTCTGTGGGTCAACTCAACCTCCACAGTGTGGCAAGAAGGCTGGGGCTGCCCCAGCCCCACAGCCTCTGGGCACCAGTCCAGAAAATGAAAACGCCTTCTGGCTACTTAAGCAAATGCTCTGGGATGAGCTCTGATGAGGCTAGTTGGCTTGGCTGGAGTCCCTTGCCTATCCTTGAACCAACCATTCACTGAGGTCGAGAACATGGGACATGCTGATTGGCTCAAGCCTGGACTTTCTGGGCAGCTACCACAGAAGAACCCATGCAAAGGCCAGCACTCTGCCCAGTGCTTTGACATAAATTTGCTCATTTGATCCTCACAGACACCCAGGAGGGGAGATTAGTATCACTATTTCACAGGTGAAGAAATGAAGCTTCATTTCTTTGCCTGAGTACTCATAGGTAGAGCCACGATTGGGTTTCCCTTCTACTGCTCTGAAACACATTGCCGCCTGAAACATACTGTCTCTGAAACACTCCAACTCATGGCAACCCTATGTGTGTCAGAGTAAAACTGTGCTCCATAGAGTTTTCAGTGGCTGATTAAAAAAAAAAAAAAAAAAAAATTACCAAGACTTTCTTCCTTGGCACCTCTGGGTAGATTCGAACCTCCAACTTTTTACTTTGCTTCCATGCACATTAACAGTTTGCACCACCCAGGGTCTTCATGAATCAGAAGCCCAGTATTTTAATGCTGGGCTTTAAATAAAGCATGGCATGTTTAATAAAGCATGTAGACCATGACTCAGTTGCTAGCTTATTAATGATACTGTGAAACCAAGTGTAACTTCAGTGGCCTGTCATTTTCCTGACTGAATCCTGCTTCTTGCCCCTTCCAGGGCCCTGGTGTTTGTTTCCCATGGAGCTGGGGAGCACAGCGGCCGCTATGAGGAACTGGCTCAGATGCTGATGGGACTGGGCCTGCTGGTGTTTGCCCACGACCATGGTGAGTGCTATAGGGTGGCAGTGGGTGGCATGCTCCTGCCCCAGCTGTACCTGACAATTTGGATGGCTCCCTTTTGAATCCGTTTCTCCTCCATCCTTTCTTCCCTCTCTGTTATGCTTTTCTGATTCCTGCTGTGAACTGGGAAAAGACTTTCTCAACTGGAGATTTCTAAGTGAAAAAATATATATATGTAATGGTGTAAACAAAAAAGAGGTCTGACCAGAGTTTTTGTTGAGTCTGGGATTGAACGCAGGCTGATGAGAAACCTCAACTGGAAAAAACAACATCAGAATATATTTATCTAAGAACTGGCCTCAGGCCAAGTAATAATCTCGTGCATTTATAAAGCATTTTCTGTACAAAATGGGCCCTAGTTTTCTCCCAAAGGACTTCAAATGGATGTGATGTAGTCAGTTCAAGCACAATTTAAACTCCAGTTTAACCACAAGAGGTTTACAAAGCATTTCAAATCAAGAGAATAGTAAAAGTCTCCAAAGACCATATTGGTTATCCCGAACACACACACTCATACACACTCTGTCACACACATTCACTCACATACACACACTGTCACACACACATTCACACACTCACATGCTTACACCACCCTCACACCCTCATGTACACACTAACACTCTTGAGTACACATACATACTCACACATGCACTCACAGTCACTCTCACATACACACTCACTCAAGCATGCATGCACACTCACTCACACACACATCCCTAGGCCAAGTAGACATATCCATTTGAGTCTTTGTCACCCTAAGGCATTTGACTGCTAACCAGAAGGCTGGCGGTTCAAACCCACCAGCCACTCATCGGAAGGAAGATTGGGCAATCTACTTCCGTAGTGATACCACCTCAGAAACCCAAGGAGGGGTTGCTATGAGTCAGATCCAACTCAACGGCAGTGAGTTTGGTTTGGTTCAATTCACTAGGCATAATCTTTAATCACTTTCGTGACATTTTCTGGCTGGTAAAAGTCCCAGTTTAAATCTTTCTTTGCCTCATAGTCTTTAAAATTATGAGTTCCTTCGGCAATGGATTTGGTTTGGTTTGGTTTGTGACTGAAAATGGTGATTTCTCCACAGCTACAATGTAAAATTCTATCACCCTGGCCCAAATCTAGAAATGTAATGTTATACCTGATTTGAAAATAGATAGTTGAGTGATGCCACAGCACAGAGATTAGGGGAGCGGTGAGAGAGGCCGAGGAGGGAGTGCTGTGTCTGTGTTAATACTAAGGAGGAAAGCTTGTCAGGAATCTTGTATGTAATGAACTGCAAATTTGGTTTGCTTCTGCCAAGAGCCCTTTCCAACCCAGGTATGTGCAGGCGTCTTTGTAACTGAGAATATCAACTAAATCTTTCATAATATAGTTGTGATGTTCTTTAGTGCTTTGCAACTGTCCTAGTAATGTCTGGGAGATTGTTTTGAGTAATAATATTTGAGAATTATCTTGGCTTTAACTATGGAGATTGATCATTATTATCTTTGGCACTTTCCACACTGTGCAAAGGTTTAAGAGAGGTGTGATTTTTTTTTTTTTCTATTATATTTATCTTCATTAACATTTGTTGCAGTCATCATCATTATGGTCTAACTGAAAAAAGATCAGGAAATCATGAAATAAAATAGTATTTATATCATGCAAACCCCACATACCTCCAACTAGAATTTCAAGTAACTGTTTTCTATCTCTGGCATCAATTACCATTTTATCAGCATATCTTAGCCAAATCTGTGGGATTAAGTAAATGTTATACCTTATTTATTTTGCCTGACTGTGACACTTTTACCAACAATATGAAAAAGGCTCTTTCTTTTTAGAATAAAAGGAAACAAGAAACCCACCTTTTGATGTTTCCAGAATAACAACTAAAATTGAGGCATAGTTCTATCTAAATAGAGTGAGAAAATGGTGGTTTGTGTTCACCTGTTTCAATTCCTTGATTTATTAGCAAGTTAAAATGATTCACTGGAAATCTCTCTGGCAAGTACCTGAGGGAGATGTTTGTTCTGATTACCTAGTGCCGCTCTGACAGCAATATACCACAAATGGGATGGCCTTAACAAACAGGAGTTTATTCTCTTACAGTTTGGAGGCTTTAAGTCCAAGTTCAAAATGCCAGGCTCTAGGAGCTGGGTGAAAGCCCCTCAACCTTGGGCTTCAGCTCTGCCTCCTGCTCCCAGCCCACTGGAGCTAGAGGCTTTTCTTCACTCAGACAGCTGCTGGCTGCTGAGGCTGACAAGCCCAAGGCTGACAAGTAAAAAGGCACAGTCCCGATGTTACCAAACCACATGGCAGGCCATTCATTCAAGTCCATTGAAAGTCCCAAGGTCAGCAGAACATGGCAGGCTGCTGAACAATGACATGGCTACATGCAGGGTTCAAGCATGCCATAAGGTAGAGAACATTCCCAAAGCTATTTCTTATATACAGGAAGCAGACCACATCCCTAAAGCAGCTACTCAGCTGCTCACAGTAGATTCCACCATGGTGTTGATTACCAGTCTCATCATGGGGAATACTACATCCAACTGCCCAGCCACTCAACCAGGCCCAGCCAGGTTGACACACAAAGATAACTACCACAATGTTTTATTCAAGAAATGAACCCAGTTGAATGTGTGTGTGTGTGATTTTGTTGTTTATAGATGAAAATGAGTGTGGCCTACTCAGTAGGAGGAAGTGGGTGGCTGCCACTGTGGTGAGTCTCTGACAGGTGGAGAGGCAGAATGTCAGGGCCAGTGATTTTTGGTTTATTTCCTTCTGAATGGGAAATGTATTACTGAAGTGAAGGAGGAGAGATTTGAACAGAGGAGTCTGGCGCTCTTTCCTTTATATCACACTCATGTATCAGTGCATGAAGACACACACACATGCACGCAGACCTCATCTTTTCCAACACAGCTTTCAAATTCAAGTGAATTTAAGTGAAGTAAATTTTGGGAATATGTCAGCATATTTTGTGTGTGCCAGTTGGAAGTACATTAAGGATTGCACACATGGGAGTGGAGAAAATTTCTGAGGGGCCATGGGCTCTCCAAAACCAGGACAGTCCAAATGTCCTCTGCCACAGAAATTGCCTTCCCTGGGTATTTTCTGCCACCTGCTCTGGAGCTTTACACCCTAGGGAACAACAGACTCCACTTCCCATGGACTGTGACTCCAAGCTGTGTGACCCTGGAGATCTAGTTTAACCATCCCAAGCCTTAATTTTTCCATCTATCAAGTGGGCCAGATAATGCTGTTACATCATTAGAGCTCATTGTGAGCTAATGCAGATAAAGTGCTGGGCTGAGTGCACCCTCTGAGAACGCTTTCAGTAAGTACAATACAGATCACCTGGTGTTCTATATGCCGAAGTTTGGATGGCCCAAGGTTATGAGGACCATGCATTCAAAAGAACAGGCACACAGACATATCTGACCACAATGGTTGATGCTGCCCCTCACCATCTAGAAAACTCGGTGAATACTGGGTACATCCAGCTCTTGGTGTCCCATTACCAACCAAGAAGTTAGTAGCTTCCACCATTCCTATTCTCACCTGTAAGTCTCATCACTTGAGCCGTATTTGGGCTATTCAGTGGGTGGGGCTGGCAAACACAAAGCCAGGAGTCAGGAGCACTGGATCTTTGTCCTAGCTTTGCTGCAGCACCCTGTGTCATTCTCTAGCCCCCTGTGGCTGCTGTGAAGACAACATGAAACTAGAGATATGAAAATGCTTTACAAAGTAAACAGCTATCTGTGGTAATGCTGTGGCACAGTTAAATAAACCTGCTGCTAACTGATTTTAATACAATGGATCATGTTGCTCAATTATATTACAATATTTCATTGTTTAGACAAATCTTGAGATATGTAGGCTGGCTGTTTTTCTCGGCATACCTGGTAGACTGGCTCATGCAGAGTGGTGCTCAACAACTATCTAAATTTTGTTTTCTGTCTTACCCTTAGAATTTGTAAAATAAGTGTCTGCCCTGGTGGGTACGAGCAGCTTGCCAGCATTGAGAATTATGACTCCTGCCATTTATTGAGTGCTAAGTGCATTCCAGGCCCTAAAACAGCTGCTTTTTGTGCATTCTCTATAATTCCTCACAATTAGTATCATTCTCCCCATTTTATAGATGAGGAATCTGAGGCTGTACAGCCAAGGATTCTAACCATGTCCAGTGATTCCAAAGCCTATTCTCATTCCACTAATGCATAACAGAAATCTGGCTGTAGGTTTATTTTTCTCCCTTGTCACAGGAATCCTGAGGCAAGTGCCAGAATCCAACGATGCCATGAATGCCCCCTGGTCCTTCTGGAAGTGCCCTAGACCCTTCTCACTTAGCGTGTGGCTTTCACCCCTGTGGGCCGAAGCTTCACCCTTACATTCTAAGAAAGAAGAAGAGAGAAGTAAAAAAGGGAAATGGGCTGGGCTAATGTCAGGAAAGCAAACCTTTCTTAGAGGTCTTTAGCAGATTCCAACTACATCTCATTGGCCAGCACTGCATCACATGGCTAACCTCCAGCTGCAAGAGAGGCAAAAAAATGTCACTTTTTAACTGGGCATTTGCGACCCAAAGCAAACAGTCCTGTGTTAGTAAGAAAGAAACAGAGAACGGACACTGCTAGTAGTAGCCAACCTAGCCTGGGCCACAGCATCTTCCAGGAACATTTATTATTTAAGAGCATTTCTCAGCCATTTCCACTTTATATATTTCCTTCATATAATGTAACTAATTCCCACTGTTACTTTTCTATCTTATTCATCCCTATGTCCTTTCTCATGGTTATTAGCACCATGAATGAGAACTGATTAAAGTCCTAATTGCACATTAACTCTTGTCAGGTGTTGTGCATAGAGACAATAACTATTGTCCAACTGGTACAGTGACCTGTCTGCCCCAGAAATATCAGGAAGTACTTCTCTAAGTGCATACCTTTGTCTTGGTATTTGTTATCCTATGTAGCCATTATTCATGTACCATCAAGGCAGCA